CTCCATATAGCTGTTACGATAGAAGGAGATGCTAGATTTTATTGTTTTAAATGAGATGGTTTTTGTGTTTGTATACGTGTGAACAAAACATTGTTCCACGTAAAACATTTTCACAGCAGGTATGTTTGTTTGCTTATTGCTCAAACAATACGGTCGGTATACAACAAAAGCAAAAATAAAAAAGCACACTACGTTTTTTAAAAAAAAAAACAACCCAATATACAACACGGCAACCGAGCACAAGAATTAAACAACCAAAAGGGGGTGTCCTTCAACTGGACCCAAATGCTTGGAGAAAAAGCTAGGGCCTGACTTGCTAAGTCTCGCAGGAGTTGACTTAAGTTTCACAAGGCAGAGCACGGCTGGCTGGGGAATTCTGGGAGTTGAAGTCCCCAAGTCTTAAAGGGGCCAAGTTTGAGGACCCCTGTTCTAGAAGGTTCTGGATGAAGACAACACCCCAGTCCCAGGAAGGGGAAGAACCAGAGACATCCGAGGGCCCTCTAACCTGGTCCCAGGTTCTTCGTGTAGGTCACCAAGTCTTCCATGGTCTCCACCACTTCAGCCACGGTGAGGTATTCCAGAATCCCTTTGCAGACACGGATGATCTTACGGACCTGAAAGGAAATAAAGGCGACCGTGAACTGACTGAGGGGGTTCTTTTTTTCTTTCGCTACCAGCCAATCGCTTTAAATGGAAAGAATAATAAGAGGCAGCTTGCAATTAGCGGTCAGTCATTCAAACACTTAGCAAGAAGACCACAAACGATTGGGTTTCTACAACACGTTCAGCCATAAATGGTAGTTAAGAAGCAACCGTGGTTTGTTGCATGCAAGTCCAAACTATGTGATGGCTTCATGGGCAGTGTGAACCCAATCTAATTCTGCCTTCAGCCAGGTGCCTGTCTCCAGGTGAACATTCAGATGTTCCCAATCTACCAACAAGCACAAAAAACGCTGCAAGCGGGCAGGTTTGTTTCCAGTTCCCTGCAGTGGTGAATGTACATAACTTTTAAAAAGGAAGATTTTGAGAATATACTGCCCGATTTCAGTGCTTTCCAGAAATTAGCTTGTGGTGAAGGCACCAGGCTGGAAGGTGGGAGACCCTGAGTTCAAGTCCTTCCTCAGCCATGAAAGCCCGTTGGGCGATTTTTTGAGCCAGTCATTCTCTCTCAACCCATCCCACCCAGCCCATCTAAGGCAGGGATGAGCCTTTCAGTCATTTTCCCAAATTAGATCATAAAGCATGGAAACGGAGGGCTGGAAGGACCCCAGAGGCCTTCTAGTCCAGCTCCTGATCAAGGCCGGGGCCCTCGTAATTCCCAGCTTCCCACACACCGATGCATCTTACGGTCATCAGAGAACCCACCTCGGCTTCATCGAATGTCAGAAGCAAGTCCGACGTCCCTGAAAGGATCCCTCGGGACCCATCGATCAGGTAATCGCGAGCAGGGACTGAGTAAGGATCCGTCTGGAGCATCTGAGCTGCCTGGACAAGCTTTGTGCACGCATTTTCCACCCTGTAAATAAGGATAATGAAACCAGGATTAATGTTGGCCCCGCCACCTACAGGGTTACAGCTCAGCAATTTAGGTAGTCCGTGATTTGCGACCATTTGAACTTATGATGGAGTTCCACCCCCGTGGCTGGTTACGACCTGGATTTGGCGTTCCCAACAGCCCCCTCCCTCCGGAGTTGCCTGATGGTATTTGGGCATCAGCAACAGGACCACTCTGCAGCCAATGGCAGCACCCCGTGGTCACATGACTGCAATTTGCGATGTTTTTTGCCAGAATCTGGTGTTTACTTCCAGTATCTGACAAAAAAAACTGCCCTTTATGAACATCAGTCTCTCTTAATGACTGCGGCATTTGCTTTACAACCGCCATGTTCGCTTAATGACAGCCACAAAAACGGCTGTAAAGTCAGACAATTTATGACTGTGATTCTGGGCTCAATTATAGTCAACAACCTGTATCTCTCCTTGAAAGTCTTTCTCTCTCTTATGCAGCACAATTATTATTTTGTGCAAGGACACACCACATTTTGGAGCTGGCAGATATATTTGGAACTGAGGCAATGGACAGGAAACAAGAGAGACACTCCTTGCAAATAAGCTTCAATATCTTCAAAATCATCTACTGCTTCATCCACATTTGACAATATTGCATTTCTCAAAGCGTTTCCCCCACCTGTTGTTTCGGAAAGAACACTTATCTCCTGCCTTATTTGGGCTGAATCTTCTCACAGAACAGTCAGCACTTTGACCCATACAAGTTTGGAATTTGTTATTGCTGGCATTTCTATTTTGTGTGTCTGTGTGTGTTACTTACCAAAACCATGTAGCCCATTTGATTGTTAGTCATCTTGAGCCAACAACTGCTTGCTTGAAAACATTCTAACTACCTAATATGAAAAATTATCTGTCTGCTTCTATTTAAATAATGCCTGTGATATCATTAAACTCTATTTATTCACAGCTAATTTTCACAGGCAATGACTGGTTGGTCCAGGGGGAGGAGACGGGAGCAGGTCTTGAGACGGTTGTATGGGAGGAGTTTGACTCTGTTGCTCCTGAAGATGTGGACAGGGTCCTGGGGAGACTGAATGCAACCACATGTTTATTAGATCCGTGTCCCTCCTGGCTGGTACTGGCAGCCAGGGAGGGGACACGAGCCTGGTTCCAGGGAATTGTT